GAAGGAAGGTTTCCTGAAATACTTTCACCATGAACGATATATTGTCTTCAACCCTCTTTCTATTGTATATCAACAACTAATTGGGAAAAAACCAAGAATCCTATATATTGCTATGCTGACGACAGCACACTTGTTTCGTAATTCCATTTGGATTCCAGGACATCAGCGGCGGATACACATCTTCACCGTCAGCAGGAGGTTGCATGTCTTAATGAGGATCTAGAAGTAATTTCGCATTGGGGTGGAAGTATCCATGTTCAAAAACCCAGGCATCGGTTTACTCCAAAAAGATAAATGTCTCCGAACCAGATATAATAATGTCAGCTCAGACAATTCCACTTTCTGCTTCGAGAAATTTGTTAAGGGTTAAAATAGACACCAATCTGTCTTGTCTCAATCATGTTGCTGGAATTGCAAAGGCTGCTTCTCAAAAGCTTGGAACACTGTTCTGAACCAGAAAACTATACACACCTAAGCAACTTCTGATGCTGTATAAAGCTCAGATCTGACCTTTTTTGGAGTATTGCTCTCATGTATGGAGCTCCGTCCCATGAATCTTACCTTTCAGGAAGGAATCAAATGGTAAGAACAACAGGACTTTCAGAAAAAAAATGAAATTTTGTGTGGTGTTCCACAAGAATCAGTTTTGGGAACCATCTTATTCTTATTCTATGTCAATGACATTGCAAATCTGAGCATTTCTGGAAATTTCACTCTTTTCGCTGATGACACGACGATATTGTGGAACAACAAAAACTCAAATGATTTACACAATTCAATATCTACTGATATGAAAAAAATCAAGAAGTGGTGTGATGCTAATTTGCTATCCTTCAATATCACTAAAACAAACATTTTATCATTTAGATGTGCTCTTGATGACCTGTCATTCGGTGATAACTTAGTGATCAGGAACGAGACTCAATTTAAATTTCTAGGTATTCACATTGACAACAAGCTCAAATTTATTGAGCATATTAAACATCTTAAAAGTAATTTTTTTTCTGGATGTTATGCAGTGAATGGTGTATTACGCCCTCGTTGAATCCCACCTACGGTAAGTAATACCGTTTTGGGGAATATGCAATTCATCAGCACTTTTGTCTGTAGTAGTATTGCAGAAACGGGCTATCAGGTATATGTGTAAAATTAAACCTCGTGATTCATGCAGACACAAATTCGCTGAACAAAAGATTTTAACAGTGATTGCTTTGTTCATTTTGAGAACGGTTTGCCTCATTTACAAAAATATGTCCCTATTTGAGGCTTCATGCCATTCTTATAGCACCCGTTCTACCAACAAAATGTTTAGAATAAGAGTAAAAACATTTCTGTCTGATAGACCCTATTATAATTTGCAAGAGTTCTAAAATGATAAATTTACGTGACAAAATGTGCATATTTGAATTCAGGTTATATAAGATTTTTGTTTATATTCTTGTTTGGATATAAATGTTTGTTTGCCTGGTTCAATGGGTGTGTTTATTTATGTTATATTATATATAAATATATATATGTTTATAAGTCTATTATATAAATGTTGATAATAGTTTTAAACAAGTCTGTACCCAACCATGTTGAGACAAAATTTCGACATTGAACTATAGTGTATGTTTTAACTTTACTTTTTTGTAGGTGTTTTTATATTCATTTTATATTTCTATACTTACATTTGTATGTACCTTTCACAAGCTTTGTCCACAAGATTTATTCTTAATGACAAAGTATATTATTATCATTATTATTATTAAGCATGCCATGAAGCTGCTAGATTCCATCCAGAAAAGAGCCATCCGCCTGATTGGAGATGCAAACATCACTTGCAACCTTGATAGTCTGGAACATCGAAGAAAGGTTGGAGATTTATCTCTCTTCTATAGATAATTTCACAGGAAATGTTCAAGTGACTTAGCGCATTTGATTCCACCAAGAGCGGTATATATCAGAAATACGCAACGGAATTTGGTTGCTCATCGTTTTGAGGTTCAACTCAGTACACCTCGAACTCCACTGTTCAAGAACTATTTCATTTGGAGAACTGCGTTTATGTGGAATGAACTTCCTGAGAACGTTTTTCCAAATGGATTTAATCTTCAGTGATTCAAATCCAATGCGAATCGCTACTTTCGTACAGGCACCGCTCTTAAAACGCCTTGAGAATTTTCCTGTAGTGCTCGTGTTTTTTCCTTAAAAAAAATAAAGAATTCCTTTTTACAGGAGCCATAAATTTGAAGAACTGCTGCAAAAAGCATGGATCGGCTCAAAATGATTACAGGACTCCTTGCAATAAGAGGATTTTTTTCAAAATATAATTCTGAAAGTTCGTGGAAACTGGTACAGAAACACTAACAAATATGAAAATGATTAGTAGTGGAATTTGGAGTCTCTGGCGTGAATTGAGACTATTGAAAATGCTTTTTCTTCATCAGAACATTTCCTGGCGGAACATTTTGTTAGCGAAACACGCGTCCAGTGCAGAATTTTTGTTGTGAGTAAAAAGTGTTTTCAATATACTAAGTGGGCTTCGAAAATCTCCCAAGGCACACTGTATAAAAAAATCAATATTTATCTCTCTAACAGCAAATTCTCAAATTGTAAACAGCTATATTTGTTGATAATTTGGTGGAATGTAACACTTTTAAACATTGAATCAAAACCATTCATGAGCAAGGCTGTAACCAGGTGTTCATTTCGAGGAAATTGGTTATGAATACGAAGTTTTTGAAAACGAAATGCTACTTGAGAAATATTTCTCCGTGAAGGAGGTTGATGATACATCACTTATTCATTGAATGAAATTTGGAAAGAACCAATGACATATATTCTCTATGATTTATCAGCCACATTTATGAAATTGTATTTAATAAAAAAGTTCAATTTTCTACGAACTGCTCAATCACTCCTTCCACCAGAAACACCGTTATCTCTATGCCATTAAAGCCAAACCATGCAGCCTGTTTTCCTCAGCGGAATTTTTCAAATGAATTTTAATTCTTCAAGAGTCGAAAAAAATGACTATCGTATCTGTAGTGAAAGTATAGACAATATTTTAACGGGGAATGCAAGTACAAGCATTACACTCACAAAGCACATCTATTGCACAGCTTGGTCTATTACTTTTCTCTTCATTTCTGCATTCGAAACTGAAGAAAAACTCAAACCACCAGCCACAACAAAAGGGAGGGTTAATTAAAACGTTGGTTGAGAGAGGAACTCAATCACCTAACAATGCCTTTATAGAGAATGGGTCCGCCAAGGGGAATTTGAGTGAGACATACGACCCAGGAGAGAGATCGTCAAAGTAACCCCAGCTAGGGAAAATTATTACAGACCGGATTGGAAGAATCTTAGAGAAAAACGACGTGAAACCAACATTTAGACCAACAAAAACTATCAGACAAAGAATGAAGCATTGAAAGAAACCAGGTTTTATACAGTGGAAGCTGAAAAAGAAAAAGCAACGGAGAGTATGAACATAGGTACCTTCTGAAAATGACTTAGAGAGAATCACTTGAACACCAAAAATACTGCTATTTTTCAAACGCACCTCGTATTAGAGACGAATCACGATTCTTGAGCATTTCAGTTACTTTCGTGTGCTGAATACTGACGACTTTCCATGACCTTTGAGGATTAAAATTGTTAAGGAGGGTCTTTTACCCTTCATCCATTTGCATTTCATCCGAATGGATGAAAAATCTCAAATATCTTGGTAATAATAATCATCTTTTCATTTCTCTTGTTGATATTGAAGACAGCTTTCGATTTTTATGAACTACTTTGACAAGTTACGTGATACCAAATTAATATTTTGAGGTTTTTGCAAATTATGTACAAGCAACATTTTATTTCAATTGTTTCATTTGAAACAAAATTGGGAAAACGACGCTTTTGAAATTATAGTCGCATATCTACAGCATCATTGAAGTTGACGTTGAAGTGGATATTCTCGTTTCGAAAAGGCATTAGTAATGGAAATCCTGTTTTCTAGAAATGTTATGTAGTATTTTACTTCCAGTATTTTTGTTTAGCGAACAAAAAGCTTTCACAGTTATATTTTTCAAAATTCTTTCAGTTCTTTCAATTTGAATTTCAATTTCCGTCTCCAATTGTACTCAAACCTCAGAGTTTTGTGTCCATTATAATGCCAATATAAATAAGTCAATAATCTCTCTTATTAACTTTGGTTTTTTTTTGTTCAAGTTATTCATTCTGAATATTACTGGAGTTTTTTCCCAACACCAAATCATTATTTTTACACCTCGACACGTGTTTCGATCACCAAGTGCAACAGTTATTGTTGCAATAATGTTGTCTCTTCAGGAAAGAATAGAAATAATTTTAATATGTGGTGAGAATACACCATACCGGCAAGTAACTAACATTTTTAATGAACGGCATCCAGAAAAAAATGGTCAACATACTACTGTGTCAAGGATAATGTCGAAATTCAGAGAAACAGGATCCGTAGCAAATCAATTTAAGAAAAAGCACACTCCAAGTAAATATGATGAGGAGGCCCAACTTAACATTTGTTTAGAAGTTATTGAACACGGGCAAACGAGCATAACCGATATTATAAAAAATACCGATATCCTAGTTGCATAAAATTTGGCATATGGATATAAAATTGCCGTAGACACAACTTTTTCAAGTAACTTTTTATTAAATTCGATGTAGAAAAGCACTTTTTCAATTTTTTTCCAAAAAAAAGGTTGAATTTGACAAACACTGAACGTCAGTGGGTCGCAGTTGGCCGCATCATTTTAAGTTAAACTTAAAGCACAAACAAGTGACTTCATTGAAACTTTTCGAAAAAAAAGTTTCCCATATGGTGCGCACTTTAATGGTGACACTGTATAAATAAGTCAAATGTATTTCAAATATGACCCCCTCAAAAATGGAATCACATTTTAGCGTGGACTATATCTTCAATATTTCCCAAATAAACTCGCAAATCCACTTTTAGCTTCAGTCCTTCCCTGAATTAGTACACTTACTTGGCATTTTTTGGGAATACTTTCTGACGAGTATATTGAAAATCATCTTCGGGATCCTTAGTTATCAGCGGAGTCCTATCTACTACTTCACGATGTGCTGGCGATGTGTGTGATCCGTATCCATCAGGATTCAACTGAAACAAAAATACTGTACAGTATGGTAGCATGATACTTAAATAAATTCGGTTCCAATATGTTAATCAGGTTCAGCTTTTGTCAAATATTGATAAATTGATGGAGAATCATGCACGAGTCTTAAGTCATATGTCGCAAGCTTCGAATTCAGAAAATTCATGTTTTCCATTCGATATTACTAAAAACTTTCAACTCATGGACATATTTATTGTATTTTAGCATATACAGGGTCTTTCACGACGAGCGTTCGTTAGGAATATATTGAGAACGATTCAAAATAAAAACTTGAAATTTTGTGGTAGTGGGTTTTACAAAATGGCCTTCTCAACTGAAATATTTTCAACTTCCGGTCTCTTTCCGTTATACCGGAAGTTGAGGGCAACTTCCTTATTTCAAACGAAATACCCTGTATTTTATAACGTTTTTTAAATTTCTCAGCTCATTTCAGGCCCACTTTGTATAACAATGCCTATACTTCAATTTGTTAGTTTTTGAGATATTAATTCTTTTCTGAAAAATTTGACAGTTACAGCATCACTCCGAAAAAATCATAACTCATAGACAGTAACAGTTGAAAATGTGAAATTTCACAGAATAACACCTTAAGCATCAAGTCATGAACAGGTCTATCGAATTTTCAAAAATAATTTACAGGGTGGTCAAAATTTCCACCTAAAACATAACATCGAGAAAACTGATGAAACACGATTTTTTCAAATAGAAACCATACACTATTCTATTATTTTTAGATACTAGAAAAAAAAAAACATATCAAATTGATGAAGAATGTCCTATACATAAAATATACCCCTGGCAAGATATATCTGATTTTGGGAAATATTTGAAATGTAAATCATTCGAAGCAAAACAAAAAAGCTTTGAAAACAAATGAACTAATATTAACTCTGTCGTTGGTAAAAGGTAACTCAACATGAAAATGGATTGAAATAAAATGCTATCATAGAGATGAATCATTTTTTTTTTATTGATATCGAATACAGTAATTTTATTTTGTTTATATTTTTTAAGGTTAGATTTTACTTAATTTTAGAATTTAACTTGATTTCTTCAAATTCAAATAATATTATGGTTCATTTCAACAGATGTTCAAAGCATTTCCATTTTGTTATGAACAAGAATATATTTTTTTGCATACCACTGTATAAGATAATATCTACGCTCATGCATGAGTGTTTTCACAATGATTAACTGCTAACAATTTATAAGACATGAAAAGGAGTGCATCTAACCTCAACTTTCAAATGCTCACTGTTGATTAGCATAAATAATAAACTGAAAGGCGTATATTTCAAAGAGAGGTTAATTTTTTGAAAAAACGGTTTTGACATACTTCTGCTTCATACAAAAAATGTGTGATTCTTCCAACGAAAGCAATTGATTTCAAAAAGTTACCTTTAGACATAAACTGGAATCCTCGGAACAACTACTTTCATATAAATAAAAAATACATATTCCCATTCAGTTTGTAACTCAGATATTCGTTATGGAATTGAATCAGATATCATTCACAGGATTGCTACACAATGTAGTGTACGAAAGAGGTAACATTTCACTTACATGGAACACTGTCATCCTCAATGGCGAAAATCGATGTTTCGAAATGAGACACGTGTCTTATTGCCTCTTCAGCACAAATCTGGGTAACATTACCCATTACCCACATTATGTCACGCATGAGGTAAATATACTCATGTCATAAATGACACTACGTACTGACATTCATTCGCTTTTTTGACTCAATCTCAGCCATAAGAATTTGAAATTGAACAAGATAGTAATTCTCTTACATTAAACTCTCTCATCCTCAATGTTCATATAAAAGTAGTTGTTTCGAGATGACTTTTTCTTCCAGTTTATATCTGAAAGTTACTTCTTGCATAATCTACATATCTTTGTAAAGAGTTTATTTCGAATTAATTGATTTACTGAAGAAGCTGAAGAAAAGAAAGATGAAACATTCCGATTCCAAAAATACTAGTATTGAAAATAATTTACGTTTAATCCTCATAGCTTGAAGGAAGACATTCTTAAAACAAAACAGTAACAAAGAGTATGGATTAGAAAACTTTTCGACCTCATTATCTTGCTCAGGTAGTTATAAGTTTTCTGAAGTGAGATAGTTTTCAGATTTTTCGGCACTATTCCAATTTTCGTGTAGAAGGAAGAAAGTTCAATAATTCTCAATTCACGAGAATCAAATATCAAAAATAAATCACATGGAATCTAACAATCTGATGCGGGCATGCGGGTGTGGTTCGATTTTTTAGATCTTCAATATCAGAAGTCTTCAGTATCAAGAAGTCTAGGAAAATTCAATCCTATCGTTTTTCAGGATTTCTTTTAAATTAATATTTGACTGACAAAAAAAGATTTTCATATATAGTCAGTGGGCGTACGTGAAGACTGGCTATAAATCGAATTAACCAAAAATAACAATTTTTTCACGTCAGTCTCAACTCCCTACACTATAGGTTAATCGACTGACACCTTTTAGAAAACAAATACTCTTCTTGGCTAATACCACGTAGGACGTTGCATTATATCCGACACGTGTCAGTGCAGGATTATTCACTGAAGTTATTCCTGCATATGCTGTTGGCGCATTAGATACTGGCCTGAACGAATCGTTCCTTCAGATGATTTGATGTATAGCCAGTCTTCAAGTATGCCCACTGACTATATGTGAAAAGTATTTCTTTATACGAGGAATTGGGCAAATTTCGGATATGTGGTTGGTGACCTCGTTCACAGGTAGATGGGACGATGACAAACGTGTTGTTTGCTGTTTGCTTCAGCCCAGTTCGAGAAACGATACTCTGAAGAAATTCGATTTTCAGTTATCGAAAATCATCGACTTTATGTTGATGATAAACACTACCTTGCACTGACGAGTGGCCAAACAGCCCGAAACCGGTCTGCAAGTGTGTTCCAAAAATTGAAATCTATTGCGGCAGTTGTATCGCCATCAGCATATGCAGGAATAACTTCAGTGAAGAATCCTGCACTGACACCTGTCGGATGTAATTCAACGCCCTTAGTGGTATTAGCCAGGGGAGTAGTTGTTTTCTGAAAGGTGTCAGTCCATTAACCTACAGTGTAGGGAGTTGAGACTGGCCTGAACGAATTATTCCTTTAGATGATTTTTTTTAATGTTAGAGCAACATACTTCTGAAAATGTGAGCAATGCCTCTATGAAACTAAACTAGATTTTGCATCAATTGGAGTTATCGGACGATCGCTTCAAGCATGTATATGACTTTCTTCTCATTTATGCTTTTGTTATTCAACAGTTTTTTCCAAGTTAACAACTAACATAAAAATCTTGTTGATTTCCTACACACACAAGAGTGAAGCTATTTTAGGTTTCAACCTAAAATAGCTTCACTCTTGTGAAGCTATTATCAGGAAAAGATTCTCGTTGGAAAAATAGATAAATTTCAATTTTCCATATTTTGAGAACTAACAAAGAAATAAAAAATAAAAAACATATATAAAATCTGACTCATGTAATAGTTCACTTTCATTTCATGTCACAATAATTTGTTTGTTTTATAAATCAGCATTTTTTCACTTTTTAAATTTTTGTACTCCTACTCATTGCTCATTATTTTTGTACAATTTTTTATGTTTCAACTAAGTAACGAATATTTTGGTTCGGTAATTTTAGTATTTTCAACAATTTTAATATTTCATTCATTTTTATTTTCTTTCTTCTATAGATTTTAAATATGTCGACAATTTTTTCAGATAACGGGAATTCGAACTTGTAACATTCAATAAACAATTCGTTACCAACAAATTGTCATACTTTATTTATTTTTGGAAAGTTAATTTTTTCAATTCATTTCATTTCTTTTTTTCGTATTAGTTATTTTCATTCCTCTTTTTCACTATTTATAAACAAAACTTTAAAAAAAAAATCCCTCGAAATACGAAGAAGCGGTAAAAAAATTGTAATGAATTCACTGACCCATTATTTCATGGGAATTAAAAGCAGTATCCATGATGATAAATATAAAATTTTCACAATAAATGTTATTTGAGATGCGTTTTGCTACACGGAGGCTTCATCAGTGCGTACTAATCTAACTGATGAATCTGCCGTATATCAAAACGGGTCTTGAATCAAATTTAGTGTATAAATATCATCGTGAATAAAAAATTGTTCAAAAATATTTTTAATTTTCTGTAAAAAATAACTCGTTAATCAACAAACGTGTTTTATTAAAAGATTTTTTTATAAACAATATTTTTCTATTAATCCTTAATCACAAATAATTACAGAAATGACTACGTATGATACGAAATTCATTACCTTTACTACGGTTGGGACGAGTTGATGTTTGGCGAAAGTTTTTTGGTCCATTTCAAAAGGCGGAGGAGTTGGAATCTTACTAGTCGGGATCACCTCCATCGGAATCTGTTCTCCTAGAAGTCGTTCCTTCATTTCGTGGATGTAGGGACACCGTTGCATATTGGATATTTTATACTGAAAAAGAAAGATGAAAACCAGTCATATCTTCGAATTATTCAATATATTGTACCTGAGAATTTCTGAACCTTGGTTTAATGATACAATTGAAATTTGATATTAGTCACAATTTCATAGAGTCGAATAGACCTCTATTGGGAAAGTAACCGCTTGCAGAGGACGTAACGATAATTTTCTTGAATTTTGTAACTGTGAGACGTTGAAACTAAAGTCAGAAATGGGAAGTAAGAATTATTATTTCTGATGTCACATCCATAATCAATACACATTATTTTTTGAGATAACCTCGACGGAAAATTTGCCGAAAATTATATTAGGTTTGTTAATAATCATAACAAATGCAAATCAAGTTCAACGGTTCTATTTATTTCTGATCAATGGCTAAAGCCATTAGTTCAAATTGCACCAAGTCTAGGAGTCAAAAGGTTGAACTAATAATAACAATAATAATAAAAGATTGTTATTTACTTGGCGGAGTTTAGCATGGTTATTCTTTCACTCAACCAAAAACAAATAGATGCCAAAAGCGTTTGACAATAATCTTATCAAATACTAACTAACATAATATAGCATATAAATGATAGCATTTTGAACTTGGTTCACTGGTGAGAAAATATGCGTCGATATAATTTTAAATAATTTTTCAGAGTTGAGAGATTGATTGAAAGAATTTTTTGGTCATGTATGAGGTTTCTGAGTACAAGTTCATTCATCAGGTATTCGGGAGTTTTATTGCCTAGGGGTCTACGTATAAATGTTAATAATTGATGCTCAATTGATGTTCACGTCTATTGCACATTTTCATCTAACCAAAATCACATATTGATACACAATATAGTATTGGAAAGAGGTGAAATTTCACTTATATGCAACAGTATCATCCTCAATCGCGGACAACGATTTTTGGAATAAAACGCTTGTTTTATTGCCTCTTCAGCATCAATCTAGATAACATTAGGTACAAGATGAAGCACAAGTTTCTTCTCTGCGTGAGCTACACACTTTTGCAAAAATCTACTTCGAAATTAATTTCTTTCTTACATTCTTTGGAAGATTCTCACATATTTTTATAGAGATGGGAAAATAGAAAGCGAAAACCAAATTTACCCAAAAAATAATCCTCTCTAAAAATTAACCCCTTTCAATTCAAATAAGTGTCTTATGGCTGGGATTAAATCAAATGAGTGAATGAATGTCATTACTTGTCGTCATGTCATCAATGACTAAGTAGATTGAACTCATGTGTGACATGAAGTCGTAATTTTATGAATGAACTGAGTGCTTCATCTTGTAATGCTATCTTGTAATGCTATAAAATCTCTTGAAGTGGTATCTCTTTTTACTAACATTCCTATAGATCTGTTGATTAGTATAATTAGAAGAAAATGGGAAATCATTTTAAACTTCACCACTTCACCCATAGATCGTTTCATGGAAGTTGTTGAATTCTGTATAGAGTCCAATTATTTTAGTTACAACGGATCTTTTTACAAAATTTAGGTTGGGAATGGGTAATTGTATGTCACTCATTTGTGGGTGGGTGATAGTTTTCATCCAAAACTAAAATTCACTCTAGAAATGGAAGAAAACAATTCGTTAGCATTTTCAGATACTCAAATAATTAAAGATGCAAACCGAATTTTAAAGGTAGACTGGGTATCATAAAACAACTTTTTTTGAGAGATTTTTAAATTATTTTTCAAACGTAATTTTCAGAGTAAAATCAGCATTATAAGGAATTTGAAAATCAGAGCAATAACAAAAATCTCCAATTAATTGAGAATTACCTAGTGAAAAATAATTTTCCTGAAGCCCTTATTAGAAAAATAATTAAAGAACGAAGTTTCTCCTCCCAAACTACAGGGGTGAAACCCAAATATCACAAAATTCCATTTGTGGAAACTGTATCTGATAAACTTGGAATGCTACTCAGTACCGAACAAATAAAAGTGGCCTTTTCAAATGAAAATACAGTTGGAAAGCATTTTTTCTCGAAACAAAAAAATTTTCCATAATAAAAATCTCCAATTAATTGAGAATCGCCTAGTGAAAAATAATCTTCCTAGGGCCCTTAATAGAAAAATAATTGAAGAAAGAAGTTTCTTCTCCCAAAATACAGGGGTGAAACCCCAATATCACAAAATTCCATTTGTAGAAAATGTATCTGATAAACTAGGAATGCTTCTCAGTACTGAACAAATTAAAGTGGCCTTTTCAAATGAAATTACAGTTGAAAAGCATTTTTTCTCGCAACAAAAAACACCACAAGAAATACAATCAAATATAGTGTACAAATTGAACTGTGGAACCTCTCACAAATGTTATGTTGGTCAAATCGGACGGTATCTTAAACCACGAGTTTCAGAACACATGAGAGACTCTAAAAAGAAACTGAATATAAAAAACCCCACAGCTCTTGTTGAACATAAAAAAGAATATGGACACATTTTTGATTTTGATCATCACACTATTTTAGATGTTCAACCATATTTATCCAAAAGACTTTTGAGCGAAATGATACATATCCTCAAATGCGATAGTGTTAAGACTAGAAGAGATGTCGATGGCCTTAATACTGCATATTTCAATTTGATAAGTAAAATACCGGAATAAATTATCCTTTTTTCATTATTTTTGTTTCTGCCATTGATTAAAAAACATACACCACCTTATCAGATTCACAGATAGAGCCATTCGTTTGTTTCATGTCGTTTTGTGTTGGTGTTGTCTCGGAAATTTTGATTGTTTGCAATGTTTTTTATTTTTATTTTTAAACATGTATCTGAAATAACGATGAGATTAACGATGAGATTGGAACCTTTGGTGTGAAAGTTGAATAACTTGTTTCCTAACCTAACCTAACCTAACCTAACACCAAACTGATATTTTTGCACTCGACACGCGTTTGGCCAACAAAGTTAGCATCCTCAGGAGAAGAAAATTGATCTAAAATGTATGTAAAAATGTGTAAAAAAATATATCTAAAATGTCTGATGGTTTTTGAAATACTGATATTATCAACACGAAAAAACTACTTTTCGGTGAGTAATTTAATTAAGGACTAATTATTTTCTTGTTAAATTGAAACGATAATAATCGTATGAGATTTGTGGAACGTATGTTTATGAAAATTCATTGTTACAGAACTCTGAAGAAGAATGTAATTAAATTCGATACGTCGGCAAGAAACCAATTGTTTTTTGAAGAAAAAATTTTTTGAACTGACCTCGTATTATATGAAGAACTAAATAGGTAGAATTCAGTAAGTATGAACACGTCTAAGGAAGCCATGGTATACCGAAACATGTGTTGCTGTTTTGTGAACTCTTTAGAAAAATCTCACAAGAAAGTTTTGCTTGAATACAAAATTTGAGTATTCACCCATATTCTCTCACATAATTCCTACATTATTTTGCCAAACTCTAGCTTTCCATTCTTCAGATACTCAGAATTATTATTATGCTGGGTGTTCCATCTCGGACGAGCCATCTCGGACGAGCCATCCCGTATATTTCTTATCCTATAGTGAGTGGAAAAATTTCCCGAAAGAAGTCGAATGATTTTGTTTGGAGGACATCTTTTGACGTATATTTTAGGCTTGAACGAGCAACCTCCTAATAGGGGGCTCCTCATCCCCTCAAACTTGAATAGGGGAGAGGGGTTGAGTGATACTTTATTTGAAAAATCTTGGACGCCTCTTTACAATGAAAAACGTAAATTTGATGAACCGTTTTCGCCAAAAATCTATTTTGCAGCTCGAATGAACCACCTTGAATAATTTGATTATTTTTACATGTACAAGCCCATTTTTACTAAGCACTTTTTACAAACTCAAACAATCTCTCAAAAAATCACATTCTTGAAAATATTGAATTGTTTTATCATCATGCTTACAATAAAAAAAATCAAATCTGCGTGTTTGAATCAAATGTTCAAATTGTTCTCCATTGACTTCCATACAATAATACAATCTTTACTGACAACCGTCTCTGACATGGTTAAGCATAATTGGAGTTATTTGACGACACTCATTCACAATTCTTTGGCGTATTCAGTCCAAATTTTCAGGGTGAGTCACAAAAATCGTGGACTTGAGATGTCCCCACAAGAAGAGCTCCAGAGGGTTCAGGTCAGGGGATCGGGCAGGCCACTCCATAGAACCTATTCTTCCAATTCAATGACCAGGGTATTGCAAATTGAGGTATTGGCGAACTGGTGCGGCGTAGTGCGTAGGAGCTCCGTCTTTTTGGAAATGCAATTGTTGTTCAAGTAGTAGAGGATCGTTTTCTAATTGTTCGGTTATTAACGGTTCAATCGCATTTTCCAGCATTTCGAAATAACGTTCGCCAGTCAAATTACCAGGAATAAACAGAGGTCTCCCAAAATTCCTACCCAAACGTTTAACTTTTCTGGATGTTGATTGTGAGCTTCTCGAAATACATGAGGATTTGTATCGCACCAAATTCTGCAGTTCTGCCGGTTAACCTCCCCATTAAGTAAAAAAGTGCATTTGTCAGAAAAGCAAATGTTGTACAAGAAATTTGGGTCATTGTTGATACGCTCGGCCATAATTTCGCCAAACTCTTGCCTTCGATCCCAATCATCATCATTCAATTCACGAAGTAATTTAATTTTGTACGGATGGAACTTGTGTCTATGTAAAATTCTGAAATTGGAATACCGTAATACCGAAAACTTCAGAAAGTTGTACAGATTGCGTGTTTGGCATAAGTTGGACATGTCCCAATACCGCCACAGCTGCTCCTTCATCATTCACAATTCCAATGGGTGTCCTTTTTTTATCAATTAGTGAACCCGTCTCCCCCACAAATTTTGAAACCAATTCCAGTACGTACTTATGGCGAACGCTACGTTCAGGATGGTTTTGGTTAAATATCCTTGCAGCCGCTCGGGCACAATTTTGTTTTTGGTAATAAAGGCTAACCAGCTCAACACATTCTTGAAATGTGTACACCATATTTTTTGAAATTTCAAAC